GGCACAATCAGTACAACACAAGACACAGCCACTCACAGATAGGTAGGGCTGCTGGTGCCTTTAGAGCTGTGACTCATTAGAATCCATAAAGCTTTTCTACGGAGATCGAGTATCAATGAAGCTATTGTAAGAGATTACAGCTATATAGATGTAGACTAGTTATGAAATCTCACAGGGCAAGAGCACTTTGGAAAAGGGGCAAGGGCACCAATGCCTGGGAAACCACTCAATACAAATGCCACCTAAGAGTGGCTGCCCACGCCTACCATTTTGCTAACGTGGGGTAGTTCCTATAAAGTGAATGGACTCTTGGTTCAGTACTCCCTAAATTCCTTCTTGTGAAATTCTGCCAAGCTTTGTATCCTCACGGCTCCAGAGTCAAGCCTAACACAGTCACCGTCTGCTGCTACCGGTCCCAGAAACAGCCAGATAATTTTTATTAGTCTTAAATACTGTTTTCCAGAAATCATAAACCAAATATAAAACAGACCTTTGTCACAAAAGACAAACAGCAGTAAAGCAGTTTGTTAAATAGTTTAAAATTTGTACCTACCTTTATCATGTTGAAAATTTCAATATTAGAATTGTAATAAAAGCATCCTCTTAGAATGTATAAAATTTTAAAGGGAGCAATAAATGTGGCAAAATGCATAAACCAAGTTGGGTTTTACATACAATTGAAAAAATCTGTGAATTATTATTCATACCAAGATTATCACTGATTGCAGTTCACAATCAAGTGCTAGAAAGAACAAATGAAATAAAAGCAGAGTGAAAATCCTCCAGAATTTAGAAAGGATATTATCACAAAGAAGACAGTTCCAACACTTTTTTCTCAAAGACTCAGAAAACAGAGTTTATCATTTGGCTCCAACTATAATGGCCAATAAATTCTATAAAGTCCACATTTTCACAACTATCTCTCTAGATTTTTGTTTCACTTGATACTTCAAGGAAAATTTCACCAAATTTTAAACAATTTTATGCTCAAGAGCATTGTTTTTCAGGTTCTGGCAGTAAAAAATAAGGTAACCCTAAAGGGTACTTTTCTTGGAAACCATTTGCACCTAGTATTCCTTATGACTAATCGTAACAGAGGCCAGACAATCTCAGCCTCACCAAGACTACTAGCTCGGAAGCTAACGCACATAAAGGATTGCTTGTTAATAACAACAGTCAATCTTAGTCTTGTTGAATTTTCAATGTTTTAAAAATATGCCAACGAACACTTCTGATATCATCATACATACTTACTGATGGCCAGAAATGAGTATTTTAAAATTTGTTCTCTGTATATTATCAGATATGCATCAAGTAGGAAGAATACTTCTTTTGAACCTGAAAATTGGAATTTTCTTCCTCTAAAGGAATCATACAACATTCACATATTTTCCTCAAATAAACGATTTCATAAACTATTATTCTACAGTATATCCTAGTCCTTAAAATACTGGTAAAATTATTGAAAACTTTATATTATTTTACATGTATATATTTATAAAAACATTATATTATTCCTTAATCTTTGAAGTGACGGATAATTTGTATTTTTCTTTGGATCAGTTAAAGACAAAAGCAGAAAAAAAAGTGTTCTTCTTCCAAAACCAATAGCCATTTAGTTCTTCTTCCAAAACCAATAGCCATTTAGTAAAATCTATTAACATTATTTTTAAAAATACACATTATACAATTCACCGTTGTAATCACCATTGTTTAATCCTCCCCTTGCAGAGCAGGCTGATCTATTCACCGTAATTGTTCTTTGTGAAGTTGTTCATGTTCTCCTTGCCTTTCTGTTGCACAAATTATTCAAACCAAATAAAAGAAACTCAAAATAATTAAAAAGGAAAAATATTAGAACGTAAGGAGAAAATATCTAATGACCAGAAGCAAAAGAGAAGTGAGTTTTGTAATTTAAAATGAAGAAAACAAAAACAGTATAAAGGAATTCAGTTATATGAGTGGAAAAAGGGCTCAATTATGAAGATAAAATGGAAATAAAGGTCAGAGAAGATAGAAGAAGATGCGTAAGAGAGAATGATGTACCTTCAGAAAGATAAGAAAGGAAAACAGTAGACAGCAGAGCTATCTGGTAGGTGGGTGGGAATGACACAATGCAGACGGACCGGCCAGGGAAGGCCGACAGAGCATTTTACATCATTCCGAGTGGTACCTCTCACTCACCCAGTTTACTTTACTTTATTATTCGTTATTCTAACCCACAGCTGAGCACCGGGTAAGTTTGTTTTGCTTTCCCCTCTGAGTTCAGCGAAAAACCCAACTAGTATTTCAAGTTACATCAGGCTATACCTACCACTTAGCACCTCTGAGATTTTCTTTAAGAGGGAAAACAAATATCTCCTGCAAGATTACATTCTTTACGTGTAATTCCTCACCCAATGCCCACTTCTAGACTCTGGCCTTGTACCACTGCTCTTTGTTTTCCTTCCTCAGGCAGGTCAGAAGACTTTGCTTTCCACAACTCAGAGTAAAAATCAGAGGAAAAATGTTAAGACTCTAGCAAAGTTTTGGCTTATTTTATTTTTTTATTTTAATTAATTTTATATTGAGGTAACACTGCTTTTTAATATTATGTAAATTTCAGGTGTACATCATTATATTTTGACTTCTGTGTAGACTACATCGGCCCTAGCATAGTTCAGTACAGACTAGTTCACTCATCTAGGCCTGAAGTGACACCTGAAGATGTAGATAGAGACTCATTTTCTTATTTTACAGTAATGTAATATGAATTAAAGTAGAAAATACCATAGTATTATTTTAATGTTGTAGAAAAATAGAGGTTGCATGAAAAAGGAGAAATTGACTAATATACTTCTACTTGTGGTGTGGCAGACATTTTAAAAAGCCTATTAAACTCAACAGTAAGTACCTAGATTCATACTAGTAACACTAGCAAAAGGTTAACACATGACCTCAGTTTGAACACATCACCACACAGAATTCGATCTGTATTTTGGCACAGACACTCAGGGGCAATCAGGGGACACACCTCAGCTCCCAGTGCAGGACAGCTAGCTCTGTCTTTCAGAACCTGTTGTCATGCCTTTGGTCGCTGATTGCACTCCCTTTCACCTCACCCTTGAAAATATCGAATGCTTTGCCTCAGCGAGCTCCAAATCCTCCCCTAGGCATGACAGAGGCAAAACAGTGGGCCAAGGGGTTGGCTGCTGTGCAGAGCCAGGAGGAAAGACTGGAGACACTGAGAGTTAACATTCTCTGATACAATTCAGAAACGTCCCATCTTCTCACCCTCCCCACCTCCACCCTCAAAACTAGTCAGCTTTAAGCTTCATTCCTTGAAAGGAAGTTCGGCACATTGGTCCCAACCTACTTCATTTTCACATCCTCTTTAAACCTGCTGCCCACACTTTCTAAGAGTCAAACGTGCATCCTTCCTGTAAGCTCTAACACAACAGCCTCTATGAAGGAGACAGGCTCAGCGAAGAACTCCCATTTTGGGAGGAGGTAAAATCCTCAGTCCCCCCCCTCTCGTTCTCAGAAGGCAGCAGTCAGATCATAGGTGTCGCAGATACAGTTACTGCAAGTTCAGATTTGGGTAGTGATGGTATCTAATAATCTGCAAGGATAACGGCTTCCCATTCTTCTATGCATGATACATTGTGCATCTGGGTAATCTTATCTTTCGTTGAAAAAAAAAATAGCTAGAAAATATTTTTTTTACATACTAAGCAAGCCATAATTCTTTTTCCTTCTTTGGACGTTTTATGATCTCATTCATCACCTCACAAACATCTAAAAAACATCTAAACCATGACAGTTAAACACTACCTACCATAACATGCCGATGTATGGTCAGAAAACTGAAGTCTGTTTCAAATGACAACTTTTTCTATTACTGTTTAACTGAAGTAACAAATATGACTCTTTGTTTAAAAAGGGAAGGACCGGGTACCACTTTTCACACACTGAATGTCTAGCTGCAGATGACTATACTCCTAAGCCACTTCTTCCTACAATTCTCTTAGAAGCTACCCTTGGTATCCTCAAATGCACTCTAGAACTTGGGTATCACCTTCATTATGATGGGCTTTGTGCACACTCTCGGACGCTGCAATGCCCATACTAAGGCAACACATCACAGAAGTTGGCAGCAATGCTATCAGCAAGAATTTGGCTTCAGAATCAGGAGTGATTCATCATACATTCTAGCAGCAGAAAAACAACACACCGCTATTTTAATCCCTTGGTGCTACCAAGAATCAAAAAATGGTAAAATAATTAAGCAGAAGCAACAAGAATCATATATGCTGTAACATTTGTAGAAATATTCACCCTTAAGAGTTTTCAATAAAACTCACTTAGAAAACAACAGACTACTTACCTTATTTCATAATATTTATTACAATGACAAATCAAGTTTTACCTTAATACAATTTCAGGAGACAATAGGTAGTCCAAACTTCTGCAGAGTAACATGTTGAAATTCTAAATTTAGAATAACTCTCATTTGCTTTACAATAAATAAAATTCCTCCTACTGTTTCAAAAGTAATCCATTTCTTTTATCTTCTCTCTCCATTTTTCAGATGACTCTAATTTAAGGTCTAAATGAGTGAGTGCCACTGTATCTATCACAACCAGAGAAATCTGATACTGTGGGCGACTTATTCAGAATACCCCCCACCCTTTTTTTAGAGTTACCCTAACACTGCCATAATGAATACGACTGGTCTAACATCATAATGGAACCCACTTACGTCCTACTGCTCTACTTAATGAGCATCAAACAAATCTCCACCCCGGCTCATTCTCACTTCACGAGAACATAGTGTGTTGATAATCACTAGGAATATCAACCAGTGTTTCAATAGAACTCGCAACGTGAATTTACGGTTTAATGTAAATTTAAATAAAACTTTAAGAAAAAATGCTATTCTATTGTGCGATCAAGTCTTCAGAGGCAGATGGGGAGATTTATCAAGAACTCCACCCATCACTCTCTTTTGGGACCCCTACCTTCTCAAACACTTCTTCGGTCTCCCTTCGTTTTCGTTTTCGGGGTCTCCGGTTCACTCGAATCCATTTCGCGACCTGAAGTTCAAAAACCAGAGCATTTTAAAGAGGACGACGGGTCCTGAGGGCCGCCCCTCAACGTGAGACGAGGAACAATCGACAGCCTCGCCACGCGACCTTCCCCGGCGTCACCTGGGGAAACCACAGGCACCTTACAGGGCTCGCAGGAGCCCTGGGCACGCGCGGGTCTGCGGCCAGCCGAGGCCGTGACCTTCGCCCCGCCGCTCCCTCGGTCCCGGGCCGCGCCGGTGCGCGCCCGAGCCCCCGAACCAGGGCCATCTTACCACGGCGGGCGCGCCG